GGTGGAGCAGTTCGTTTTGATAGGGCTAATTTTTTATGGACTGCTTATCTTATACCCCTGCGTATTCCTGTTTTTTGAGAGTTGTTCTCCGAAATGTTTTCAGCGCGTATTCCTTTTCACACTTCACCTGACCAAATCTTTTGTCTCAGGGAGCGTAGTTCGGCTTGGTAGGGGTATAGGAATATGGGCTACAACGCTCAAAAGTGGCGATTGTGGAGAAGTTTGGATTATGAACCTATTGGACTGTTCAGTTCTTGCTGTCCCAGCCTCGAAATTAAGACTGTACTTTCATAAATTTGTCCCTCGAATCAACGCGCACAAATGGGTACCCCTTTTCTTATGATACCATTGGCTGGATCTCCCCTCGAGTGACTCAACTCATTGCCCCCCCCCCTCCCCCAATCTAGCAAATGGTGCCAGGTTGTTCTGAAAAGATGCAATCTTAATTTGATCAATACTTGGCATGAAAGCCTCTGCATAGGCGTAAAATGATTTCGAGATCGACTGAATGTGAAGGTGTTTGCTGTAGCAAGCTAATGGACTTGAAAAAGGAATGAGATCCATAACTGCCGAAAAATAGAAGTGTATTTGAGGAACATATGCGACCCGTTTTAGCGTCTATATTTTCTACCGGTAGTCGAAAGGAGATACAGTCGTTTTCGCTGCAGACGCCGAGGTGTCAAGAGATCGGTCTTGGCGTGGCGGTAGCCCCTTCACCACCAACTGTTGAATATGGCAAGCAACAACAATTGGTGGAAAATAGGCTAGCGCCACTACAAACCCAGCACTCTGATACGAGCATACGTCTGGACCGAAAATGACTACAGGAATACCGCAGTGGCAAAAGACACTGTCTATGTGCGCACAATTCCAGGAAAAGCGGTCCTACACCTGGACGTCTTTTCCTACAGAGAACATACCATGGATTGTGGTCCGCTCTTTGGGAAGCCAAAATGCGAAAAAAAACGGACAATGTGTAAGGGCTGGTCATCAAAGAGGCGGATTACGCGTGCAAGTGTCTCCACAACTTTAGTTGAGAGTTGCTTGCATGGCGCATTCCAACGAAGCATCACTTACTGTCGAGGTTTCCGGCTCACCACCTTTTGCGGCTGAAGATAAAACCTTTTCCTAGGAAAAACGGTCTTTATGTACTGCTTCTATTTTTTAATCATTTAGTCCTTGATTTTCAGTTACAAGCTAGCCAAATTTCACCTATTTTTTCATGTTTATTATCGAACAAAGTAGATCAGCAAGAAACTGTATGAATGTC